CGAAATGGATTACTATTTTTCGTGGCTGACAACCCGCCATGTTAAGAAGACATTTATTTTCATGGCAAAGATACATTGCTGCAGAGAGAGGATAAACGGGTTTCATTGGAAATGGTAGGAGAAATAAACGCGTGGGTGATACCATGAATACTAGCGCGTAACTTAGATTTCCTTTCGATAAGGACATTTCTATCCAAATGTTGCAAGTTTCAAATTTCTTAAACTGATAAGTCTGCAAATCCCCAAAATTCTAATTTTCTAAATTCCGATTTCTAGATAACTAATCTTCTGTATTCCCGAATTTTCCAAGTCTTAAATTACCAAATTTAAAAATCTTCGAATCACCGGTATAAAAATCCCTGCGTTACAGTTTGTCGTATTTTCTTTAGGGAAACTAGATTTACTCTCGTATATAGACTTTTTCTAGACAGTGTAAAGACGAGTCCAGCGATTGGACGTGGAAAGGGGATTTACAGTTAGCCGTTGCGTTTACTCGCAACCACACCTTGAAACTTTTCAGAGTACCGTGACTCTCCGATCCTGTGTCGAGGCTCGTTCGATCGAACTGTTAATCGAGTGGGAAATTTTAAACGAGCGAACAAGATACGGTCTATGTCTATCGATTATTTTTAACCCTTTGACTGGCGTCTGTTCTTACAGACACACGACCTTTTTCCATGACGATGACCCGTGTGTGGTCACGAGCGTTCGTCTCGTGAACCGTAACGAATACAAAATTACAAAACTGGAGGATTCGGTTATTCAGGAGTTTAATCGCTTAGACGTTTAGAAATTTGATAATTTGTCGATTTCGTACTTTGTGCGATGGAGAATTTGTAATGTCCACTAATTTGGAGAGTCTCCTTTCCTTCTAGCGCCATTTTCTCGGCGCGTAAAGCGCACCCGAGCGGACCACGTTCGTTCTCCGCAACGTTTTTTGTCGAGACACGGCACAAATCGAACAATGGAGTTTGCAGCATAGTTTTATCGGATCTCGGGGATATTTCACCGAATAAGGAGGCGCAGCGTGCTATGGCAGCGTGAAATTCCAATTCAAAACCTGTTTTCCCCGTGGTCCGTAACCAGATACGAGTAATTCGTGTACACCAGGTTGCCCGTTGCGGTCGAGAGTGTCGTGGCTCGGCCAAAAACCACCGTCTCGCGGTTGCATGGGATTCTGAGCTGTACTTTAAAATCGGAATTCGATATCTCTGATCATTAGCTGCGACGACAGAAGTCACCGATCATTTACGGTTAACGAGAAACATGCTACATATTCATCGATTTCTACGATATCTCGAATACGATTTCCGTGCACGGTAATCCGCTTATGTTACGAAACATATCAGAACAAGTATGTTCCACTCGTTGAAAACATGTAAAACGATAATATTCTAATATGTCCAAATATGACACAGCATAGTACTTTTGAAAACTCTACAAATGGCTATAGGTTATTTGGCTATCTCGTTAACTCATTTGGTAACACACGTTGCGACTCGTCGTTGAACAAATATCAGTGACGTAGAAGCATTCTGCTACTGTTCGAAAAATTATTATCGATGATTTGCTGTGTAACACATGAATGATAGATAACGATAACGCATTAATAATTGATAACACAATGAACTTAAGCGTAAGGTTATCAACGAGTGAAATGTGAACTCCACTACAATATTACTGTTCCAATTGTAAGGTTAAAATAGTTTTTCCAAAAAAAATTCCAGTTTCCACATTTCTGAACTTACGATTCTGAAACTGCCTTAGCGAGAAGTTTTACGAACTCCGACAGTACAAGTTATAAGTAGTAGACTTTCACGCGTTGTACGTGTACCGATAACCAACCGTAATTCGCAATATCTTCGATTTACTCGCTAGAAAGATATACTTGATATAATTTAACTTCCAATTAAAATATTGGATAATTGAATTGCTCGAAAGTTTCCGATAGAGACCACCGAGAAAAAAGAAGTTTAACAATTTTTTAATTATTTTTCGGATAAGGAGGTTCCAACGCTTGCGAAGTACTTGAAAAATGCAAATTGAAGAAGTGCTTAGGAAGGAGTTGAAAGAAACGAGGAGCAGAGAATGCGGTTGAAGAAGACTCGGTTCTTTACGAGGTCTAATGAATTGTCCCAATGATCGTTAAAGCAGAAGTTCACGGTAGAAAGCGTATGTTGACTTTTCTCGTGTCCACTCGAGCCAACGTGGCTTGCGCCTTTCCTCTTCTCTTTCGTTTCACGAGAAACACTCGTGTAACTGGTTTGACTTGTACGGTTCGTTTATTAACCACGAACATATTTCGAAGAAACATCGACTAGAATTCGTGGAAGTTTCCACTACAATATGTTCAAAATCTTTTCCTATACTTTGTTCGAACTTGTTCGACGTTCTACAGTTTCGATACGAGAAATAAGAAACAAGAGTCGTTTATGTTCCCGAATACAAAATGGCGCATATAAAATCGTATAAATCGCGAATGTTCTATGGCTCTTCAAATTTTTCGCTATTAAAATTATTCCTATAGAAAAATGTTTAAGAAAATAATGGTTTCTTCAACAATATTTATATCTTCGCGTATGATTTAGGATTAGATAATCGTGAAATATTGCGGCATAAAGGGTTATGAAACATCAGGAGACATAGTTGTAGTAAAAATTATAGATCATTTTAAATCATCCATCACGTTGGAACAACCGCACACGACAGATAGGCGAAGGGTGTGAAATTACACACGACCCTTCGCGAGTGTGTGGATCCATGTGTTTGCAACCGCTTGCAAACGGTGTACCGCGAAAAAATTGCGAAATCTAACTGTAGTCAGCTTGTAACGTTATATCTGGTGATCCTCGATGTACATATTTAGCCGATGACCCACGATGCATCGTGAGAATGGTCAAAAATTATACACGATTCTTTTTTTAGTAATAACGAAGATGTTTGCAAATAAGGTTACCGATTTTTATTTAAATTGTGAAAGAATTTGGTGGTAAAAATTTCTGTTCCGGCAAAATTAATCGTCGATAGGATCGAATCTTTGTCGTTCACGAATAAACGCGATGGAATTCGCTAGGAACAGAGGAGACTACAGCATGCGTCGACGTTGGCAATCCTGCACGCTTGCAAATTGACCCTTTGTAACGGCACGTGTCTCCTCCGCTATCAATTAATTAACTAATAAACTTCCTACGGACCTACAATTTGCCTGTTTCAGCTTACAAGCACGGATACACGATCAACCTAACATTCTTATCGCAATTGTAACAACCGTGATTTCTTTTTTTCTCGCATAATTTACATTCGTAAATTACTTACGCACCTACCAAATTTTCAATTTTATTTTAAATAAAAATTCGATAGAACAGTTTTATTGATCGCGTTAGAAGAAAAACGCCGGAGCTAAATAAATTTAGATAACTCAGGCATATTTTATTTCCATGTAACTTAATATCGGTATACAATTTATGATGCAACGCGATGAACAATACTCTAATGACAACTTACATAATTTTATACTTTAAGAATTGTATAAGTTAATAAATGCGCAAATACGAGTATATTCGTTATTGGTCAATAACGTGCAATAGGAGCTACGATTACATAAAGATTTCAGCGTTCTTTGTTGGACCGTTAACGAACATGCACAAAAAAAATGTAGGTTCCCGGTCCATTAATAATCCCTTAAATGGAACACGCTATAGAGCCACGGATTAGACAGAGGCTTTCGTTAAGAACTATGTGCATGTATGCGCTTATATTCACGGTTTTTAAGCCGTAAAAGGGTTAAACGGAAATTTTTTCGCGCGTTTTCTCGCACACGACGAAAGAACGACCATCCTCGAGACTACGCGGAACAAAAATCCGTTCCAAATGGTCATAGACCATTCTTGGCCCGGCTTTTGTTTCGCCACGAGAACAATCGTACAGTCTGAAGAGCGTATCGATCCTCCGTACATCTGCCGTTACCGGCTGTGCAAGGTTACTACCGGTGCTCCTCGAAAAGACTGGCAGAGTGGCCGGAAACGCGAAACTTTTCAGCAAACTATCGGAGAAAGATCTTCAACTCTCGATTTCTGTTGTTCGTGTTCCTTCCTTTTCGTTTTTTATCCGTGCTTTCCGCTAGCATAACGAACAGTAATGTAATTAGCCACGAACCTTTTCACCGTCAGGGCTATTGTTGGCCAAGCATTTTCAATATATTATAACACAAAATTTCTACGTTGTTTCAAATTCTTAAAAATTTGCGTAACTTCGAATCAGCTGAGTACACTGACAGACTTCGTAGTTTTTTCTAGGGAAAAAATCAATGGAGAGTCATACAACGCGCAGCGACACAACGCATTGTAACCGAACGCGTGGGGAATTGGCGATACGACATAGCAATGTTCGGATATATGACCGTCCTTCGAAATCAGGCATAGCCATATATCCGGACATATGGATTTTCGAGGATTAGCACAATTTCTACTAAAAAGTCATTCAAAAAATAAACTTTGTTCATGAATACAACGTTCGAACTCGCGCCGCAGGAAGATCCTCTTTTCGATACAAACGCTTCGATAACGATTAATCGTTGACAGCACAGCGTCGACTCGAAAATCGAAAATCGATCGTAAAAAGGCAAAATACAGGTTATCCAAAACGCTGCTCTCTGCGCGTAGTCTAACTTCAAAGTGCATTGACTCAGCGCGCAAACTGACTTACGCGACAGGAATGTAAATGCTCGAGGCTGGCTGATCGCGTATCGATGACAAGAGTCGCAGCTTCGATCGCGATTACTCGAATAGTTTGCAGCGTGCATCCGCAAACAGTGGACCATCCGTGTGCGCCAAGATACGTTCCTTCTCTCGGTCAGAGAGATGAATGTACATTCGTAATCCTCCGATTAATCTCGGTTAGCCATCTCGGTTTGATTTATGCACGCGCGCCTGTGTCTGCGTTAATTCGCGATCTCTCAAAATCTACAGTGTATAATAAGGAATGTCTGGTTTGGTTTTCAGGAACGGGCGCATAATTTAGAGGAAAAATGGCGGTGTTCGGTTTGGTGTCCGCAGTCGCGGGCTTCGTCAAGGTACGATACCTCGTGGACAAGGCGGTAATCGATAATATGATCTTCCGAGCACATTACAGAATAACTTCCGCGATTCTCTTCGCCTGCTGCATCATCGTATCTGCCAACAATCTAATAGGTAAGTCACTTTTCGTTAGACCGTCGAAAGTTCCTATGTCCTTGTATCCTGGAATTTTTTACGCATAGCGTACTTTTCGCTCGTTAAAATAGTAGATTCGATTATGTACGTTTGTACGATAGTAAATGTTGGTCAGCTGAATTTTTGAGCGGGGATATCGAGCTACGGATTCACCGGCGTAAATTAACGAGGAAAAATGATCCGCTGATTCGACGCACGTGAGCGCTACTGGGTCAGAGATCAGTAATGGTTGCATAAATGCAACGCAGGGCACAGACGGTCGTGATTAAAGTCGTGCAGCGGTGTCCCGTTTCGAGGACACGCGCTTATTTAATGACGGACCTAATGTTACATCTGCTCGACAGTCTGCACAAGGCTTCCACGCAAGATTTCGCCTTATCTTTTACAGATAACCCTTTTAAGATGTCGATGCTCCGTATGCAATCACGTTTCACACCGGACGCGTACCTTGTTAGTAAAAGGTACGAGAGAATGCGAAATAATGTAACGAAATTTAGGTACCTTATTTTCCTTTTAATTCGAAATTCAAAAATTTGATGTTGAATTTGACAATCAATGTTGAAATGTATATTCCGATAATAAGAATAACTTCATAGAGAATTAAAAAATGTTATGGAATGATTTATAAATTTGTGAAAAACTAACGGAACCAATCGTGCGACGCGTTACCTAACGATGAGTGAAAAGGGTTAAATCTGTTCGCTATACCGTTGACGATTTCTAGTCGTCAAAGGGGAATTGCATGTTGCATAATTTTACGCGTTATTGCGCTTGTAATCAAACGGATAACACGCGCCTTGTCAAACGAGGTCGTTTGAAACGTGCATGTTAACTGCTGGTCCAGTCGTTTCGGAGAGCACGCAGGAACATTCTGTTTCGATGTTGATATAGCAGACGCTAATTCAAACTAACATACTCGACAACTCGTATAGCAAACTGATTAGATCGGTGCTACGCTCCGCAGTCTCTAATCCTAAGCTCCCGTAAACGATTAATCCTACAACTTCCAATGCATTATCTACTTCTTGTGTGTACATGTACTTCTTTCAATTTTTCAGCAATTTCTTTTTTTATTAACTTTGATGATATTTTTAACACCGTTTCTATTATAGAGATGTAGTTTGTAAGATGTAGTCTAGTTTTATTGGTATGCCATACATCGTCGGGCATTGTACGCAAAGTAGGAAACTTGTTTCGTTTCAAACAGCGTGTACTCGAAGATAAAATCGTATAGAAAAATAACAAACACCATGATGGTTTCAGGTGATCCTATAAACTGCCTGAGCGATGGAGGGGTGCCAGACGCTGTGATAAACACTTACTGCTGGATTACGTACACGTTCACGCTGCCCCATAACAACGCGAAACCGGTGGGCACCCACGTTGCTCACCCTGGTCTGGGAGGTGACATCGGGGAGAAGAGGTATCACTCGTACTATCAGTGGGTGCCCTTCATGCTCTTTTTCCAAGGTGTTTTATTCTACGTACCTCATTGGATATGGAAGCATTGGGAAGAGGGCAAGGTCAGAATGATATCCGAGGGTATGAGGGGAGCCATGGTCGATAACAAGCCCGAACGAGAGCTCAAGTCGCAACGACTCGTCAAGTACATCGCGGACACGTTGCATCTGCATAACACCTATGCGGCCGGTTACTTTTTCTGCGAGGCCCTCAATTTTGTCAACGTGGTAAGCGATTACGACCTAACAGAGAAAACATACTTCGTCTTCAACGAGACGAACATACTCGAAATATTTCCGTTTCTAAAGTAAAAGCTTTGCTTTAGAATTTTTGTCAGAAACTGATGAACACTTGTTCGTTTCAGGTGAGCAACATATTCTTCGTCGACACGTTTCTAGGCGGTGCATTCTTGTCGTACGGCACAGACGTGATCAAATTCAGCAACATGAATCAGGAACAACGCGTCGATCCCATGATCGAAGTTTTTCCACGCGTAACCAAATGTACCTTCCACAAATTCGGTGCTTCTGGAACCATTCAAAAGTTCGATGCCCTCTGTGTCCTCGCTTTGAATATTCTCAACGAGAAGATCTACATTTTCCTATGGTTCTGGTTCATTATTCTGGCAGTATTATCTGGAGTTGCTTTACTTTACAGCATGGCTGTCGTTTTGTTGCCTAGTACTCGTGAAACTATCCTTAGGAAACGATTCAAGTTTGGTACAGCTGCTGGTGTTAGTGCACTCATCAGGAAAACACAGGTAAATTATTATTTCAGATTTATAGATATGAATTATGTAAAAAAAAAAAACTATTCTTAACCCTTAGTAATCCACCGTACTAACTTGAAAGTACTTGCAACAAGTTAGTACGAATTAAGGATGGAACATATCGGTGGAACCCTGTATTATCGGTAAATGGATGATATTATTCCCGAATTGGACTTAGTTCCATTAACGACGCATTGATACCAATGCGAATGTGCTTGAATGCACGCTCGAGTGTAACGTAGGCTCTCTGTAGAATTCCTATTTGCTCCCTCCGAATATTCTCGGAATTTTCCTGAAAATGAAAATAGGCGGTAAAAAGCTCATGTGCCTACGTTCATTCTTATCGGAAAAAGGGTCTATGCAACAGTCGAGCGTACACTCTTTACACAGAATAGGTCGGCCAATATTTACCGAGCCACAAAAGCTTCAAAATTTTTCATTCGTGTTAGCGCGGAATGCAACAACTATTCAAATATTTTCTCATCAGCGTACACCTTGTGATAGGAACATATCTATTATTTGATACACGAATTTTCAGGTCGGCGATTTCCTGTTGCTTCATCTGCTTGGACAAAACATGAACGTGATGATGTTTAACGAAGTGCTGGAGGAACTGTGTCGCCAATTGCATCTGGGTTCCACCAGTGGAGCGTCACCTACGTCGGTACCATCCGCACCCAGCACTCTCGAGATGTCACCCATATACCCAGAGATCGAGAAATACGCGAAAGACACGGAGATTTAATATCAAACATCTTTCTCGATTACATCTTTGCCTTCTCTTTTGTATTGTGATAATGCCGAGGGTGATCTCCGACACCTTTCGGTTTCGTGAGATAAGGTTTGCGTTATCGACGGTTGTTTCGACACGAGCATATACCCGTCACTGGATACACAACAGTGGCAAATTCTTGCCATTTATTCAAAATCATGTCAAAATTATATCACGGTTAATATCTTAATCTTGACGTTCGAAAGTTAAACATGAAAAGAAGAGGAAAGAAAATGTAGAATACCGTTTGTAATCACGCTACTACTTGCTTAAAAAATTGTATGCACTAAGCAAATTTATTGAAAATATCAGCTTGCAAAGGGTTAATATAATATCCGCATACTTGTCCAGATGTTTGTGCTCGACACCGTCCATAGCTCAAGCTACTGTTAGTTTATCAAACGAACGTGTAACGTAATTAAAGCTGGATAACGTTTATCATTGTTAAATTAATAGTAAGTCATAGAGGTGTGTGGATGATCCCGAATCTTGAACTTCGAATCGAGGCAGAAAAAGTTCGGATGAGATTGGATGAGATCGGACGAGACTGAGTGAAATTGGACGAGAATTCCCAAATTTTTAAATTCAATACTTCAACAAATAACCAACTTATGCAAAACTTAAATCGAATGCTTATGCCGAGAAATTTCAAAATCTTGCTCTGTTCTGTCCGATCTCGTTCAAAGTTTCCTGTCTTATAACGATCTCGAAAATTCAGGATCCTGCAACCTTCTAAAAAATCGAATTCCGTATGGATAACTGTCCATTGCCATTATCGCAACAGCGTAAACGATTTCCATACAACTTCAGTCGAAAGATCGATCACGTTGTGATTCTGAATTCCTATACGCATTACACGTTCGCATTCCTTCTTTTTGTATTATTTTTGCGTGCTGCGAAGAGACAAGTGCCTTTTGACGAGGATATTATTGAATTTCGCTCAATTGATCTTCCATAAAGCACAATAATATTCCTCGATGTTGTCAGATGATAATATTCGTTACAATTTAATTAATTTTGATCTGTATCGCGAAAAAGATATATTCTTTTTTTCTAAATGTAGAAAGAGACATCGTATAAGTTCTTCTTAGTTAATCGTAGAATTAAGAATGAAAATTTGTAGAGGTACAAATTGCCGAGAGAAAAAAGTAGTATATTATAAACGTAAGCGTGATACGTTTAGAACATGCTTAATGAAAAATTCTCTTATAGCCTCTATTATAAGTTAACGTTTATTTAGTTATTCGAATATACCACGTGTTAAAAGACAAGAGGAACGACCATTCATTCCAGATTGTTTATTAAGCTTTTTTTATACGTATATGCGTGATTGGTGCAATTATCGTAGAAAGGTTAAAAAAGATTTAGTATATATGTATATGAAATTTTGTTAACAAAATTTTACGCATTTAGGGGCATTCCCAGTTATTTACGCTAATAATTCACCATGAAGTGTCTTATGACAATTAGTAATTATAAAATGCAATTTATCGATAAAATTAATTAGAGGAAAAAATTTGTAGACAGACTCGATATAAATAACACTTTTTGTATTATTTGAATTGAAAGTATCTACTTAAGAAATGAATTTGTATAGACAAGATTGGATATATAACGCTTTCCGTGAATTTTTTTTATCGCGGAGTATTACTTCTTTTCTAAAAAAACTTTCTTTAAGAACTGAAGATAGATGACTTCCAAAACGAAGCATAATAGCGCTGAAAATCCACCCACGTGTCTTCGCAGCGATAAATCAATGTTAAACGCTCATATTCTCTTTTTCTCGCGAGAACGATATACAGTGTTTCAAAGTTAAACGGTCAAATCTTATCATCAGATTCTACGAATAGAAACGAAAACAAAATGTGTAAAGATAGGAATGGAAATGCTTCGACAAAAAAATAATTAGTTTAAAGCAAAAATTCAGTCTTTGACATTCTGAAAAAGACATTTGAAAAAACTTTTTCCAAACCTGTATTTACACAATATTTTTTTTTTTTTAATTTTATTCACAGAACGCGAAAGACTCGAATGTTTAACTTTGGACTACCCTATATTATGCTGCCGTTAATAGATATAGATCGACAAATAATAATTTTATGAGTATTTGATTTAGTTTATTATACTATTAGTCGCGTTTCGAGTGATATATATATTATATGTACATATACCAGGTGTGTTATAACACGTGAAATTCATTTATGTGATAGACATAGGACACGATATATTTTTACGCTTTCAATTTATAGCTATTTTTATATATAAATTACCACTTGATACTTTAAGCAATACTTTGACAAAGTGCGAAATAAAATAATCTAACTTTGAACCTATCTTGTACATTATCTGTAAATATTATATCGTTTTTTAAGTTAAACGAAAGTTTGATATTATCAAGTTAACAAATTAAAAAAAATGAATTATTCTCAATATATTATAAGCAGAAAGCAAAGTAAAATAACACACATATGTATAGAAGTTTGCTTTGCGTCCTTTGTCCATCATTAAAATGGTATTCGCCTGTTATAAAGCGCCGCGTATATATGTTGCGATAGATGTTTAAGACAAACAAGACAGATGTGCCTTCTTTATAGAATATAATAACGAAAACAATGTAGAATTTATACGTTAAGACAATGCTCATTAAAGGACGATTGCGCCGGAATGAAGACTGCCAACAAAAGTGCAACGTTCGACCATAAAAGCGGAGCAAACGAAAAGACAATTTGTAGAAATAAAGAGTGGTATTACTCTCTGTCTTTCTTTTTCTGTGCCGAGTACACCGCGCACCTGTGTTATCCGATGTTACCATACAAAAGGGCGATAGATCCGGTTAATCCCAGTATTGCGTGCCATTTCTCAGAGAGTTCAACTCTCGAAGCAAGCAACGATAGGAGGAAGTTCGTAATCGTTCAATAAATTCCATTAAGAGATACGATTGAAATCGGCGAGAGAAATGACGCGTTTCGTGTCCTCTCTCTCTCTCTCTCTTTCTCATGTACGCGATCATCTTATTTGCGATGTTACTTTCGAACTTACCGATTTCCCCAGTCCACTTTGTTGATGATCCGTAGCTTCAGCTCTCGCGTTTGATCGGTCGTCAGGGTGCCAGCCAACAGCTGTCGCCGCCATTCTAACAGCTCCTGCATCACCTTGCGCAGCGTGGTGAACTTGTAAATCTCCCGTTCCTTCGCATGATTTAAATTATTAAATATTAATTAGGAACGTTAGTCTGCTCTAAGGATAAAGGAAGTGTAGAGGGAAGGAGACAGAACATGCAAAGTTTCAAATTTCTAAATTGAAAAATTCCAAAGCTTGAGAATCGAAGAGTTTTCAAGTGTCTAACCGAGATTGAAACCACAGCGAGGAATAAAATATTAATGAAATGTTAGCGTTTGGTCGGTAATTGTCGGATAACGGACGTTTCGGTAGGAGTTAAAAGCGTCGTTCTGTTCATTTGTACGTTCCTCTCAGACTACGTTTCTCATAACGAAAAAGTGTGTCGCAGCCGAGTCTCACGAAACGACGAACCATTTATCCGTTATTGAGGAAAAGAGTTGCAGCCAGACGAGAGTTGTAGGTAGAAAGCAAAAAGAGGAGGCTGGGTTCACTCACCACGTACAGTCTCTTCCAAATACCGTCCCATTCTCGAAGAACGAGGGTGACTTCGCGTACCACGGGGTCCTCTAAAGGTATGACAGACTCGTACAACCCTTCGTTCTCGATCTTGCAGGGTTTCAGGTGGATGTACGAACTGGGAAAGATTCCCTTCACCGCCCGATTCTTCGTCGAAAAGCCCCTGTACCATCCTGGAACCGGACCATCGATCGATTACAATCTCTCTTAACGTTGCGACGCGTTCGCTGTGACAAATTAATTGGCAGATATTTCACGCGTTACCTGCGCATTCTTCGAGAATCTGCACGGTTTCTCCAATTTCCAAAGGAAGGCCATAGCGCGTGTCACCTCGCCAATTGTAGACAGCTGCAGAGAAGATAGAGCAAGTATTATTAATTTCAGATTAAGAGATGTAACGTATTAATATACGAGTCACGTGTCGACGAGCCAAGACCAGAGTTCTCCGCGTACATACAAAGACTTCAAACGCGTATTGCATCCTGCAAATATTATGACTGGAGCCGCAGATGGCCCGCTGAAACGGAAGCAAGATCCTAACTACGGTTTTAGTACGCGAAAGGAACCGGAAATTAGACGGTTCTTGGATAATTCCACGGAAAATTTGCACGGAGAATACTACGCCAGGTTTATTCTCTTGTACGTTTAGTCTTCGTTCGCCGAGAGATTAAATGTTTAATTCATGTTTCAAGTTCAAATCTGCCGGTTTAATTTAATCCATTCGAGGTCTTATAAGATGTATACTACTCGTTATTTACTTTACCTTTGAACTTCTACTCGGGACTAATTTAGATCGTTAATTAGAACTTGCAATAGGAATTCGTTTCAAAGGCGCATCGTTTATTCGTCGTTAGACACATTGGAAAATGTGAAAACTCGCACAATATCGATCGTTTGCAGGAGATAATAAAGCGATAGAAATTTACAACAACGGCGGACACTGTTGTTCGATATAAATAATTCAACGACTGTTTATTATCGCGAGAAAATGCGGAGACTGAACTAATGCTAGCTAATTAGGTAAAGCGTGAAACGATTTTACTGAAAGATCTGGAAGTACCGTTAAGTTACAATTATGAAAATCAGCTGCTCGCGTGCACCAATGAAAATCCGTGTAAATCGGTGTGCATAAACAAGAGCCCATGAGATAGATACGAATTGAAAATTTGAGAATTTTTACATTTTTAGTCGTATACAAAATCTGTAAAAGTATAGATTCCGTGGTGAATATTTTTCGTCTTGAAACTTTCGTGAGTAATTTTAATTGGTTTTACATATTCGGTGAACCTAGGGCATGATTGACCCAGTTATGGTGATCGAGTACCGATTCTTGAATACGTCGCGCAGGGCACTTTTCCTCGAGTTTGCGCAACGATACAACATCGAAAACGAAACCGAAGAAGACTAGAATTTTGAAGAAGAAGACGAAGAAGAAGAAGGGTAAGGACGGAAAAAGGATCGATACATGTCCTTTCGTGGAAGTGTCAGGCCTCGATAAACGAACTCCGGGGCACCGGATACGCGTGACGATGCACGCACGACGAGCCAGCTTCCGGTCCTCCGACAGAGAAACGCACGCGAGACGCATCTGAATGAGCGTGTCTCTCTGGCCACGGAATGTGTGTTACGCGTGTGTTCGTTCGCCCACCATCACTCACACGCTCGCAACGATGTGCGTAGATACTGTCATGTAACTTTCGTTCATTTCGACCAACCTCGATTGCTCTTGTTTTTTCAACTATGCTCTCTGCGAAACTACTTCAATTTCGCAATTTTTACCGTCATATTTTATCTCAATTCGTAACCGAGATCCCATCGACGATAAATAGTCGGCGAAAACCCTGAATTCTTTTCTGTCGAATAATCGTATCTAAAAAAATATGGCTAGTGTTACATCCGCGATTAACACCATCCATCTTTTTTTATGTTTGAACTAATCCTTCGGAAAGATTTTGAAAGTAGGATTCCTTTTTCGAATAATTCTGTCGGTTGGTAGAATCGAACAAAGAGAGAGACGTCGAAACCTTCGCACCCATAGTCCCTACACCGGTTTTCCCCCGTGAGTTTTCCCGGGGAATTAAATCGATAACTCCCTTCCTACCGTGCAAAACATTCGCGACGGGAGATCCCTGCTCTGACAGAAACTACGGATCTCCTCTTCTCTCCTCTCCTCTCTTCTCCATAGGCTATGGCTACGGCTATGGCGCGTGTACCATGTACGGGGTGCTCGGTGATTCGAGGACACCCTTTGTCGTAGAAGAGGATGCTTGGCTCTGTAATGTCACTTCGACTGTACGGGGTGTATCAGGTAGTAGGTATTCTAGAAAGTGCTTTCAAAACCTTCCTCGTATCGAAACACGGCAACGTAATCCGTCGTGATTAGTAGATTAATACACTTCTAAAATTGACTAGCCGTTGTATTAGATCGTGGCATTCTAAATGGACAATTTTGCCATTGTATTAAGAATGCCATTTTGTATTAAAAATACTCAGAAAAAGATTACTCCTGGCCTAACTTTAAACTACAAATTGATATGTCCGTGTCTGAAATGTTAAAGGAATAATACAGAGCTACAAGAAGACAGAATCCGTAGTCTGTACACGCATGTTAAAGTCGACCGTGTCAAAATGGTTAACAGTGGAGGGTTATAATGTCTTTGGGGTGGCAGTGCCACAAAACAGGGGATGGACCCCGAAGAAACCATAAACAATGACATCTGAAATCATTCTGAACGCCTGCTGCCGATCGAACATCACCCTCTTCATCTTCCCCTACGTCCGACAAGTTTCGGAGCTTGGGGTCTTTCTTTTCTCTTCTTTTTTGTTCCGAACGCGACCCAACAAGGAACTCATTAGTTCCAAAATTATCTTTTTTTCGTTTTTCATTTTCAACTTGACAAATTTACGTAACGTATTTAATACAATGACATCGTGTTTAATATTATTTATAAATCATAGATAAATGCAATATTCTCAAATAATTTTTCCTTAGAACTCCCATCAGGTACTCTTTTTTTAGAACGATTCTACCGATGTAATATTACCGACCCATATATTGTATGCATTATGTAATAAATAGCGATAAGAAATCATCAATCAAGTATCAAAGCGAAGAATACTTGACACATAACTCTGACAATCGATTTGTTTGTTAACAAACCTCTTTAGTCAATATTTATAGACTGTTATGTACACCCGGTACAGAAAATGAATAAATATAAACGCTGAAGCTTTAACAATTTATGCGGCTATCGGAGTTTTTATCTTTTCACTGAACCGAAAAGGGTTCGGGCAGGATATTAGGTGCGCTACCCCATAGAATCGTTTTTCAAGATTTTCCGTAACGATAATTTCGAAGCTGGGTCGAGTATACGAATCGTTTCGAGTCGCCTGGGAATAGACTCTGAATCGATATCGATAGTAGCCGCTTATCTTTAACCAGACAGTAAAACATACTTGTCACTCGAAGTAAACGGCTAGCAAATTAGAACATTTCGAATTCTTACACTTCGAAATTGTGTTAACCTGTCTATTATAATCAACGCGTACGTATAAAAAATGACGATATCCGTTCATGTTTCATTATGTCATCTCCTACTTGAGAGTTAAAAAGATAAATAGTTCGTGACGACGTCAGGAAATTAATTATCTTACCAACGTTCATTCTTTTATCGCATCCTTTGTTCCAGAAGCGTTTCCAAGAGACAATTTTCAGATAAAAAATGGAATTTCAATTCTTTTGTAGTATAAACTCATCGTTGATGCGTGTGACGAATATTATTTCCCCTAGAATCATTGAATCATCTCTTGAGTCGTGAAAAACTGTATCGAAAACATGTGTTCTTTAGAAGACACGCAGTATTCGATTATGAATTATAGAAGTTGCGTGAATTTGCCGCGACACGCTAAATCATAAAACATGAAATCGTTATTACTGTTTCTCGGCCCACGAGTACTACGACATTTACAACTATTCTTGATTATGCAAGAGACTATCTAAGTATCCTCGTAGTTGGGGGTGACAGTGTAAGCGATGCGCTACGAAAGGGTTAACCAGAATTCGGTAGAATGAAATCAATACGCTCGAGGAGAGTCAAGTTCTTTTGTAATATAAACGATTCGTTTGTAAACGCTTTTCAAGCATTTCGTGATAAGAGGTAATAACGAGGAAGGTAAATCGCACGGCCACGACAACGGCAACACGAGCTATGCTAGAACACCAATCGCAGCATTTACATCCACGCAGCGAGGTTTCATGGAATTACGAACGATTGCTTAACGAATAATGAAGCAATCGTCTCGTACGAATACCACGGACAATGCCTCGATCGCTAAGACAAGCGATCGTTAATTCACAAATTTTTGACAACGATGAAAAATTCATGTTACGCAATTTGCGGGAAACTGAAGAAACGTTACAGTAATTAAAGGCAAATACGCGATTTAAAATTTAAATTTAATTATAAATATTATCATCGAAGTCTTAAAATAAAATTTTAATCCCTGTTTTCGCTTCTGGCACGGAATATATGTAAGCAATGTCGGGAAATATGATTTGAAATTGATCTGAAATTTTATTCCGGTCGCATCTCGATTAATGGACAGAAGTACATTTAATGTTTCCCTGACGCTTTTTCCTACCGATAGAACGTGTTTAAAAGAAAAGAAAAAAAGTACTGAAACGCGGAAACTCGACAAGAACTTCTGACGACCTAAAGTGGCACGCAAAAGTTTCCACGGAGTTACCTTTTTTAGCCCTATTCTGAAGAGGACGAGCCAAGATTAAAAACACGAACAGGGAAACAGTAACAGCGACATAATATGAAACAGAAGATGCGTTGCGAGAAGATGAGATCACTTGCTAATTATCCTGTGATCACCGAAATTAAGCTCAAATAACTGTACGAATATGTAATTATCCTTTAGAGCAAATTTGCAAGCACACGATTACTATATGTTGAAATGTTGAAAATGATCGAAAATTTCTGATGACTTTGCGAAAATTATAACGTTTAAGTTAGACATGTGACAAAGCGAAATTCCGAAATATGAGTTAACTTGTCATTCGAGTGAAAAACGCGTAGAATCTAATTGAAAAAGAATTCTAAAAAATTTCATTCTTGGAACCTCGTTGTTAAAGATCAAAATTATCATATTGAATTCAGAAGCCACTTACAAGTCATTCATGGTTGAAACGTCACCTGATACGTCATGATTATATGCGATTAAATTCCTTTTATCGCTTTGTCATAAGTTATCATGTTTTTTTCATATTTGCTATTGATTTTATCCGAATAATCGCTTTCATCGTTTAATCGCTAAGTGTCGTTAATTCTTTCATCCAGTTTCGATTCACGATACCGGATCACGTTCAAGTTGAAACAGCAGGAGCGTTTCCGGTTGGTCGTGGATACCATTTTCAATTGGCCATTCGACGCGACGCGACGTTTCAATTAGTAGCGCTTCGAACGAAACGCTACACTAACCGAATACGAATAATTCTTTGTTTCTTTGACGTGTAGATCGGTGAAAAATGCAGTTTCTTTTTTGTTTCATGCAAATTCCACGTATCCAGCACGCGATACACCGTTCTTTGATCAAAGCTCTCTCCTCGTGCATCTTGTGCCGCTTTTTTCCAGAGTTCCCTCTCGAAATCTCGCAAACCAATAGGAGTCGAGTACGCGTTTCGTTAAGCCGCGTATCGCAACGGAAAATTGCCGGCACGCTGCCCGAGATACGATCTCAAACGCAAAGCGAGATTAAACGGCCGACAAAGTCATCGAGAACAAAAGAGCGTCTGGTTAGAAGTTATATAACCGTGAAATGGGACAATTTCAAAAAAAGAAGTCGATTAGAAGAGTCGGTGTAACGATAGCGACTCCCGTTCGTGAGAAACGTCGTCGAGAATTGACGTTGAAGTAGCCTATCGCGCGAGAGTGTACCAACGTGCATCCCAGACGGCCAGACAAAACAGAATTAAACGGATGTAATTCAAGGATGCTCCACAAGTATCAGCTGACTGCGAAACAACTCGATCGGGTAACGCACGCAACAACGAATCCTATACGCAGGAACGAAACTTCGATCTGTTGCTCCCCCACCATAAAACCGCCTTCAATTCGACTATTTCCAACGCGCATCGTCCGAGAAAATTCGTGGAAAGTGAACGGCCAACGACTTTTCGCCACTTTTTCATTTCACGCGCGCATACGATTAAAAGCGTGTTTAGACCGCGAGCGAGCGAATATTTATTCTTTCCGTATTTTGACAAAATTTAAGCGTAAGCGACCATTCTTCCGTTTTCAATTGTTCGCCGATTATTCATCGGATCGAATGGCGAACTTCAACAAATGCTCTAACGATAAGAGTGCTCGCTCATCGAACCGATTCAGCGCGATTCAATTCAATTCCATATAATTCATCCCGACACTATTCAAGTAAATGCAATTTAACTCGATTCAAGTTTAATTAGACGCAATTCGAATCAATGCGACTCAAGTCATCTTAATTCAATTAGTTGCGATTGCATCAACTTAAGTAAATTTAAGTGAATGCGATTGAATTCGATTCAAGTTACTACAATTTTCATTCGACACGACTCAATTCCATGCAACTCATCCCGACGAGGTTAACGTAATTCAAGTAAATGCAATTCAATCCGTGTTGTTTTAATTAAACGCAATTCGGCTTTATGCGAGTCGATCCACCGTGTCAGATATACAAATGTTCGATTGAAACTTTAGGAACATTCGCTCGTATTCAGCTATTTGGAATGACCGAACAATTTACTCGATGGTCGTTTACCCTAAACGAATATAAACGAATGCTGTTGCCTATTGTTACGAGCTCGTTAAGGATGTATTCTAAACGCAGCCAAACACGGTATCTAGAGATAGCAAGTTGTAGCCCGGCGTTGTTTCGCTTTTTCGAACTCCGCTTACTACTCGTGCACGATCAATGGATGAATGGGAGCCGAAGCACACGCATAGCGGCACACGGACACGCACACGGCACGCAGCGACACGGCCACCGTGTGCCAGCAGCAGCATCGTGCCTCGAGTCTCGAGCAGCGTGGAGGCGAAAGATCTCGCGATACGATCGGTACAATCGTTGACACGGAGAATTTCGGTGTTCGATGCACGGTGTTCGCGACCGTCGACACCGTGTCGACGATCTTCGCGATCGAGCTCTGGAACTCGTGTTGGAATCCCGCGGACACGCAGCGAGGAGTTTGACAGATCCGCGGGGTCGATGCCGCGCGTTAATCGCGATAGAACGCCTACGAAAACTCACCGACGCCGTACTTGGTTGTTTTCGTCGTCGTCCACATCTCGAGCGGCTCGACGACGGGACTACATGCCTTGCCAAACGGCCACGAACCACTCGTAGTATCACGAAAAATTCGAAAACACAAACATTGGGTGTGTTTGCCGCACAAGTGCCACCCTCACGGCTCTCTCTCTCTCTCTGCTCTGAGCCGAGCAACGTTGCCGATGGCTGTCGCGAGCTTCGGCCGACTGCCGGCAACGCCGTTACTGCTGCGCTGGTCACGTGCCCTTCAGGAACGTACCTAACATACCATGCACCACATACACCGATTCTACCCGTCTATACAATTCACCGTACTGTAAGGTAACCACTGATTATATCTATTTTATCGTGTATCGCGACTCTGGATCTATGATATAATCTGACATTCTAAATATATGGTAAAACTTTGTCAATTATCAGTAAACAGTTATAAAATTTTACAACAATTTTATGCATTTATCTTGTATGGACAAATTGAAATAAGCAATGGCGTAATATAGCGATACGGTACAAATCTATAAATTTGGCGGTAAAATTTCAATCCTGTCTTGGTACTTTCTTCTCTACTAAATGTATTAAATAAAAATTTTTAAATTGACATTTGAAAGAACTGACGATGAATTGTGTACTTACAGTATTTCTACGATAAACCTTATACGTAGCAACGGATGTTCTTACGAAATCCAATAAAGGGATCGCGATAACGTTAACGTGGACAAAAAAGTTTTATCTGTATGTTACAGCTTAGTGCAATAACGTATCCGAAATCACGAATATCGTAAAGTTTAATTTGTATTTCCAAACACTTTTATATCGAATTAATAATTTTATTTATAATAAATACAATACTCATAAAATAAAGATAAACCTACTATAAAAGATGTGAGACTTTCGCAAATTCTTTTTACTTTTATGTACAACTTTTCTTTCTTATATGATTAAGCGATGATGAAACCTATACGCTAAATTCGTAGCGTAATGGTGGACTTGGAACGTAGACTAGATCGAAGCTACGACGTCAAGTGTGCACCGTTCTTTACTTTATATATTAATGATATTTAAAAGTTAATGGGCTTTCCAAAATATGCAGCTAGATGAGCTTCCTTCAGAGCTTCGGCACATGTCTGCAAGATAACATTATAAAGTTATGCACGTCATTTATATTTGAAATTAGATTGAATGTCATTTAAATATTTACCGGATGTGCGTGACATGTCCTAGCAACGTCTTCCGCACTTGCTCCGTATTCCATGGCGAGAACTGCTTCGTTAATAAGTTCACCAGCCACTGAACCAATCATGTGTACTCCCAATACTCTATCTGTACTACTGTCGGCTAAAACTTTAACGAAACCTTCCGTCTCAAGGTTTGTTTTTGCTCTAGAATTGGCCAGATACGGGAATTTTCCTACTTTATACGCGATGCCTTCCCTCTTTAAGTCCTCTTCCGTTTTGCCCACCCAGCCAACTTCGGGATGCGTGTATATTACACTGGGTACGCAATTGTAATCGATATGTACAGCACCTGGATGAAAAGAACGAATCAAAAATTGTTGTTATAGTATGATCTAATGAATTTTAAAACGTATTTTTAATTACCTCCAGCGATGCCTTCAACCGTTATGATACCTTCTTCCTCTGCCTTGTGAGCTAACATCGGCCCGTGAATGCAATCTCCAATAGCATAAATTCTAACAAAAAATAATTTCATTTAAAATGCTATTAAGATATATGAAATGTTGTCAAATAATTTCTACCTACGAAGGTACCACTGTTTGGAATCTGTTATTTACAGGTATCCTGCCCTTCTCATCCCTTTCGATTCCCATATCTTCCAGTCCTAAATTTGCTGTGTATGGCCTCCTACCAACGCAAACTAAAAGTACATCACACGCCATATCCTCCTTTTTACTAGGATCTTTTGCATCCTCAACGGATACCACTATTTCACTGCCTGTTTTTTTTGCACCGGTAACTTTAGTTCCTAATTTAAAACTTAAGCCCTGTTTACTTAAAATTTTTTGTAACGATTGACTAACTTCACCGTCGATTCCTACCCCACCGATCGTTGGAGTGAATTCAACTGTCGTTACTTGTGAACCCAACCTATAATACATGATAAAGCAATTAAAAACAGGTTACATATACATCATAACTATAAATTTAAAAACTAGTCTTGGCCATTATTTGAACAATATTTTATTCATTTAGATATATCCTAAAACATATCCCAGACTAATTCTGCTAAAGCAATACCTTTGCCAAACTGAACCTAATTCCAATCCAATAACTCCAGCACCAATGACAACGAGTCTTTTAGGCACTTGGCTTAAGGATAAAGCACCAGTCGAAGAGACAAACTGTTGTTCATCTAACTCTATGCCAGGAAATGGTGTGACTTCACTGCCCGTTGCAATTATAATGTTTTTAGTGTTAATCGTGCTTGCAGCTGAACCATCAGGTTTAAGCGCGGTTACTTGATTTGGACCAGTAATTTTGCCATGACCCTTAACCCATTCAACTTTGTTCTTTTTAAATAATCCGGCAATACCACCCGTTAAAGCCTTTACTACGTTGCGTTTTTGTTCCATCAGCTTGTCAAGATCTAGCCTAAGATTATCAACTGAAATAAAAAAAAATAAATTAAGTAATAATCAATTAATGTTAAGCACCTTAAACAAGATGAAATATGTACCCAGAACACCACGGTTTTTTAAGTCTCCGCTATGTACCATATGATAATAATGGGAGTTGTTTAATAAAGACTTTGAAGGAATGCATCCAACATTAAGACAAGTGCCACCCAGTGTTTCATCTTTCTCCACGCAAACAGTTTTCATTCCCAACTGTGCAGCTTTAATCGATGCTACGTAACCACCAGGTCCACCTCCGATTACTACAAGGTCTGCATCTATGGTGCTGGAGTACATACGTTGTTGTGCAGCTGTCAAGCCAGGTACAACACGCTTGACACATGTTGGCTGATAATAATAGAAAACAGACAATGTAACTGTTGAAAAAAGTGATTTTCTTTCCTTTTCAGGTTCTCGTAGGATCACATATTGGTGACATAACCAACGAATACATTAGAGATCATTCTCTCGAAACAGTGTTTTAAAAAAAACTCTCTGACTTTTTGAAAAGTTCGATTGACCTTTCATTCAAACGAAAGGTCAACAGCAAAAATTATCTAACGAATAATTCAAGATAAAGTGCAAGAAAATCATTTGCCCTTCAAAATGTTACGAAATAGACTTTCTGATGAATAGTCCGATACATGAACTTGATCCACCTAAGAGGACGTTTATTTGGTAAGATTTTTGGAAACTTACCCTGATCGAGGTAGTCACCAAATTCCAAAAGGTAGCTTGCATCATAATTTTACTCTAATATATTTTTTATCCGATACTGTGTGGGCCAGAAAGTGAACAGGTTCAGAACAGGCAGTGTGAAAGCAAGCACTACCGGTTATTTCAATATCGCTCAACTCGTCTGAGCACTGATAATTCGATACATCGTCGGCTACGTGTTTCAATGGTTCTGCTACTTGATGGCGCTGGTAATCTATTATGCAACGTGAAATGTTTTTTTTTTCATATTTCTCTATATTTTCAAACTCAAAAACTAAGAAGTAACTTCTTTAACTTTAATACGACGTATTTAAAATAAAAAACATATTTGTAATACGACATTACTCCAAGTTAATTATTCCTTTCCTATAAAGTATAACGAACAATTTTATTGGAATCTACAATTTTATTTATTTTTGCTTGTAATCATATTCGTTTGTACGATTAAATCTTGTAGAAATAAGAAAAAACATTTTCAACTTCTAACAAATTAATCATTCTGATACTATATTTACTTTTAGACCATTGTAGACTTCGTTAAATACGATTACAATGCACTTCGAGTAAACGAGTAACCGCAGAACATTAACTAAGGAAATAGGCATGTTATGTTCAATTTCTACTGAATCCTTTTTCGCTCTTGAGGAGATTAAAAAATGTTTGGTATAAAACGTAAGCTTTCTTGCGCTATGAATAAGTACATCTAAATAAGGAAAAGCGTACTACCACTCAATTTCAAAAGTTTTATCGAATCATTAGATTAAAATGGCTAAAATTAATGCCATCTTGCGGGCACCCGAAAAATTCATATTCACGTCACAAGTTCGAATCGATCGACATAAGGCGCGCTATCATAGTCGATACGTAACACTGAATACATTGCAGGTTCGATCGAGTTGTATAAGTTTTTATCCCCGCCAAAAAGGGCGATGGCACAGGGAACGGAGAAATGAGGGACAACGAAAGAAATCGAATATATGAACGAGAGACAAAGATAAAATGTGCGTTAGGGTCGAGGGAAAAGGGCAACAGATGTCCTTCCGTATAACGCATGACTCGTTTCACCCTCGGAGAAATAGTACTGCTTGCGTCCCTCTACCTTGCGGAAGCACCGTGCGTTACAAAACGAAGCTAACCTCGTCGTTGGAGAACGCTCGTTCGAAATCGGTTAGTATCTGTCGTGTCAACGAAACCAACGATAATTCGACGATTAAAAACGGAGCAATCTTACGAAAGGCTTTTACTATTGTTCTTCTATCGTGTTCCCAAGTTTGTCAGAAAGTATATAATCCCGTTATCAGTAGCACGTTTCTGATTGGTTTATTTGAACGGTGGTAGCCTCTAATGTTCCTGCACGCTGAAACCTAGCAAAATTTGTATTCATATATAGAAAATGATCGATAACGGTTGTAATGTGTAATTTTAAAGGTTATCGAGAGGAATGATCAGAGGATGGTGCTCAATTTGCAAAATTTATATCTGAGGGATTTAGTCAGCCTACGTTGAGACGAGGGAAAAAAAATGTGCGAAATAGTAAAGGGTCAACGCAGAACATTTCGCGATCAAGATCCGCCGCGAATAAGTGACAGAAGCAACGATAATTTGAAAACTGAGCTCGAGTTCTCCAAATCGACACCAAATTTACCGACGATTGCTCAAGCAACGTCTAGTTTCGAAAAGTGTTCCAGCGAGCCCGAATTTTTAGAAAAAGATCGGAAGAATGAGAATGAGCAACGAGGGCATTCGTCTATGCAGGAAAGCACTTGGTCTGATTCGAATGGAGATTCGGGAAATACGAAGGTAGTCGAAAATGTCAAGCAGCTTGATATTCCTATTCGCACGCGCAGCGAGCATTTTCTTAAAGAGCTTGCCGACAGAGTGCCTTTATCTGGCCGTCGTGGCAATGAGGTAAGTTGGAAAATTACATGACTTATGACTTAATTCCTTAACGGTTAAAATTTTGATAGGGTTGTAAAATTTAACCCTACTTTTTTACTTTTATGAATGTACGTTATACAGTATTGCGACTCATCCCCGCCACTCCTCCACCATGGTATAAATTCCAGTTTCGCTATCTCGTTTCCTCATTCGTGTTTCGGGCGCGAGTCGAAGCGGACAAGGAAAGGATAGGGAATAGCATAAAATCGCGGAACGAATTGCTATATACCTTCCTACTTGGCAAGGGGCGAATTCAAATTCGCGCCATTTAAGCCCTTTTTCTGATGCGGGTTAAAATTCGGAAGTTGTAAATAAACTATCGTCTAAAAATTCATTACGATCAATTTCTATTTCATTAAGTAATCAATGATCTATTTTGATATAATCGAATAATCAAAACGAGAAACGCTACGTACAAAAGTTAACATTAAATATGTTTTACTATCGATATTAATATTACGTAGGATAATATGCGGAACATTTAAAACGAGTAAATGAAATGATCATATTTTGAATAATTGTAGTCGTAGCGTGCCGCATTTTATGCTTTCATTTTCGATGCATCATTTAACGCGTTAAGGTATTTCGTTTTCACTTAAGATGCTTCTTATATTTAAATTTCCATTCTAGTAAAAGTTATCAGACACTGAGGGTTATATGCGAGTGCATATTATGTTTGAAATTTTTATGGTGTCTTTCACCAGCTATAACCGATTCTTGGTATAGGCAAGTTCACAAAGAAAGTGGATTCAATTGTACGAGCACAGGGCCCTCAGACGATTTAGGTTCGGACCTGGAAGATGCGGGCCCCAGGTCCGTTGCAGGTTCTTTTCCATCGAATGCCTCTTCCTTTGTGCGGATTTCGATTTAAGTTTTGTTCACACCGAGCCTTTACCGCTTAGCATTTTCCTTTAAATCCCAGCTATTTCTTTACCGTATGATTTTTTGAAATATTAATTCTACATATAACGCTTCATAATTTCATCGATCTTTTCACAACTGTATTTCCATCCTTTAAAGTGAATCGTAACGCTTGATTCAACGAATAAAACAAATTGGGGAAACAATACTTTTCTTTAAAAGTTACGTTTTATTAGCTTCTTTCATCGATGTTGGTAAAAATAAAAGTTTCAAATAAACGTTTAACGATTACCAGCGACGATTGACCAGAAATTTCTTATTTTCTTTTTCTCGCAGCAAAATAAAACTTTCACGGGATTTTAACGATCTGTTAGCCATTTAAATTTGCATTCCCTTATTTTTATTCTTGGAATTTTCGTTTTGGATAACCCAGCAATCGATAAATTGGTGAAATTGGTATCGCGAATAGTATAATCGATCGTGGAAGGCTAAGAAAAATCTACGCGGAATTTTACTCTGGATGTACTTGTAACACTCGAACAGGGCCATTGACCGACTATGTTAAAATATTGACGAGAAATCTGCTATTTCGGGCCGGTGTAATTATGGACCGAGGAAACAGATCCGCGAACGATACCTCCATAAATGTATGATCGGTTTTCCGTTAATTACGCCGTGAAAAGTTAGCATTAATTAAAAAATAACTCTACAAAACGAAATCGAAAAATATATGAAAATCTCGAGCAGGATTTAAATAGCATCGAAGGAAAGTACCGTTAACGAAATTCTTGTAAAATCTGGTAAATTGCGTATATTGGTATCTCTGCGTCGGAATTGGCAAGTTCGATGGAAAACGATTGTTCGAAGCGACGATTTAGGAAGCTAACGGTCCAGGTGCAGGTTGCAGTCGGTCGAAATTCATGGTTGGCGAAGAACATGCAGTTGGTGCGCGCAGCATTCAGTGTGAAAGCAGCTTATTAAGGTCGGGTCCAGTGTGTTGGCTTGTCGGCCGTGTGGTGCAGCTTGCCTGGCAGCTTCAGTTCGATGTTTACGCTCGTGCTTCGAACATTTTTCTCCGTTCGAGACCGTTCGTAGCGTGATTCTTCCGAGTGTTTCGTCTTTTTTGCCTTTCTTCGTCGAAGATCCTTCTTAGCCGTGCAAGGATCTTCTTCGATTCACCGGTGAGTGATTTTATTCGAATAGTTTTCCCCTTTCGCGCATATGTTCGTATCGTTGAAATTCGATCTTCGTGTCACGAAATTCGCGTTACTTCGCGTTGCGTAGGGGTAACAACCACCGTCTACGTCTTCGCTGTATTTATGCTGCGTTTCTTTGAGAGATACCATCGTCTAGGCTAGTCTATTCTCGTAGTCTTTGTCGAGTAGTTCCAAACGATTCCTATCTATTATCTCAAACTGCTGCTTGAAATTTCATTAGACGCGCTAATTAATTCCATGCCCTTTTATCTTTTGATCCAAGGTCTGTCCTTAAAGAGTCGTGCTAGCGGCGAATATTTAAATAATCATTTTCGTTGTTGGTGTTCTCGAATTAATGTTTCAGATTTATAAAAGGGCTAGAGAAAATTCAAATTCAAAATGGCAATTAACATTCTAGCAATCACTGTCACGTCATTGACTTTTTCTATATCTTTATTTACCCCGTTTAGTGTCAATTATGATTAAAAAATGAGTAATTTTGAAGCATACGGAGCTTGAAACTGTTAATTATACGGGGTGCTCTGTGAGTGGTGGTGCAGTCGGTAGGGTGTCGATAAGCGACGGGTGTGTTTCCGAGAAAATCTCGTTTAAAATAATAAATCTGTGAAGAAACGGACTCGTTCAGCAGTGCATAGACAATAAACAAAAGTAATTGTTCCGGTATCTATTCCCACGTTTCGTTAGAAACGAAAATGATTATAAATTTTCACACCAAAGAATATAAGAACGTATTGTTTCAAAATTTTTGTTAATAATCACCGATACATTCAGTCTGTTGGGTGTAAAAACGAATTTGAGATTGTACAGGTTATACAGATTCCATGAAATGTGTGGTCAATTTTGTTTCTACTGTTATCATTACGATGAAAGCGTTGGCGGGCCGAGGATTATTGTTTGCCTCTTTATTTTAAAAACACCATACATTTGTCTGTTAACATATGTAAGTACGCATGTGCCACGCCTGCGTGTTCTTTCAACTGTGAAATCGAAACGAACCGAAATTCTTGGTAGTTCCACGAGGAAAATCGTTTCGCGCCAAGATGAATACAAATCACGGAGCGCGAAAGTTTTCGTTTTTTACATGTTATTCGATCCTAATTGCGAACCACTGTCCCTCATTGAATACCTGGTGAATGAACTTTCTCTCCCTTGTCGTGTATCGGCCTTCTTCTTATCCGAGTATTTTAATTGAGCGGCATCGAGTGGCGGAATTCGCTTGCAAACCCGTTTTCACTTTCGTAACCAAATTGATCGCACGATCCTGAAAACGAACGATTCCTTCCTTCCTTTCTTCCGCCTCTTTTCAATACCTCACAACAATAGCGAAAATTCCTCTTCGATCTATTTCCGGATTTCGATCTGTTACATTTATAATACGTATAGTCTTCGATAGTAATCTGCATTAATAAAATTGTCACTATACATTTATATCGAAGAAATTCATATCCTCAAATACTTGGCAATTCGAAGTAACAGTATACTTACCAAATTAGCTCCCAAAGTTAACGCGGAATGAACTCGCGGATATATGAGGATTATTAAAAATTAGTAAGCAATAATTCAGTGGTGTTAAACGCAGCATGGTGCAACGAACGAGATAAATGGGCGGTCGGTACGCTTCGAAACACTACCAGTTTTGCTGCATTAATTAACCGACAAACTGGTTACACCACGTTCGAAACTAGATTCCGTAGGTGAGGTTATCGTTAAAGTTGCTAGAGCTTTGAATCGATTCCGACGCGATCGTATTTGCAAGGAAACCGTGTCTTAACGCGTTCGCATATCGTGTATTTATTTTTTCGAACGTGTCGAAGCTAGGTAATAACCGTGGTTTCTACTTCTCTTTAGAAAAATATCTATTATCCCGTAGATAGTTGTAATGGCTTCGACTCGTTTCCACGTTTGTACGCGAGTGCCGATTAGACTCTTTAAACGATCTCTACAAATTAATTCGGCGTATTCGCTGCTACACCAAACCTTGTCACGTTTTTGCTTCTATCGAGAAGATATTTTTCGAATCACCTTTTTATTTCGATTTAGGTATTAGTATTCTTTCTAAAAGATAAATCCAAAAGGGGTACTATCATTGTACACTAGATAAGATACGGACTTTATATTAAAAATTATTTTTTATTTTATTTTGTAAACGAATCATGAAATATTCGAAGGAAAGTAACCGTTGCGCGTAACTGTACTGGACTTTACTGGACATCGAACTTCGACGCAAAAGTTTATTTGACCCGTACCATCTAAATATGAAAGCGAATGAAAATTGCTCCCGCAGCGAACGCGTTAGCCGTATCGAAGTTACAGCCTTTCCTTTTGCATTTCTATCGATTAGATCAGTCCGATGAGGACATGACTCATTAATAACTTGATAGTAGAAAATAAACTGCGCGTTCACAGAAGCAAAAGCTATATGTAATATAAAGCGCGTCGTGGTCCGAAAGCGATCAAGCTCGACCAAACAAAAGTTTGTAATTACGCGGTTAAGTACGCGTTACAGCTGGTGCGAGCTATAATTTTCGAGAAGAAACGAGTGACGTTTACGATAAAATATAACGTAAGAAGGTTGGCTCGTTTCCAACATTCCAACCTCACGTAGGAAGTAATTATTGTGAAATTAATCTTAGCAATGGGCTGGCGTGTACGAGCTAGACCCAAGGCAAAAGTGCACTCACCATTGTTCCCTCGGCCAACGAGATTCTTCTGCACCGACGTCTTACCCTTTGCAACCTTGCGTATTCTTTTTCAATTCTTTTTCCTTTCGACGCTTGTCTGGAAATATTCTGCTGATTCTCTCGTGTCACGTCCGCTTTCTGTTTGTTTCCGATCTTTAAAGCTAAATAAAAATGTTGCGGATACGCGGCTCCGATTCAATTTTACGAAGCT